TAGAAATGGCGCGTCCCCTGGGAGAAGGAAGAAAGTGAGTGGTGCTGATGCTACAGGGACCGGGAGGGTGGGTAGATGTCCCGGGCTGCACATGCGCTGCTTTCTTCCTGCTCCCAGGGGACAAAAGGAAGAAAGCCAGCGGCTGCCGCACTACTGCTCTAGAAGCCATGTCCCGGTACTGCTGCAAATTGCGCATAGCATGTGCAGCCCTGCGACATCTGCCCTGTTGATCCTGCCAGACGAGGCCGGGGATGGGGTGGATGTGGGGGAGGCCCGGCAAGCTCTGGGGATGGTGAGGGAGGGGCTAGCATGACTTACCTGTGAGCAGGCAGATCAGGGATGCTCAGCTGGGGCGCAGGCAACACCTGGGAAGGCAGGTTAGAAAGGCAAGCCACAAGGACCCAGCGTGTCACATAGGAGGGGAGGAGTGACTACGTGGGGCGAGTGGGCGGCGAGTGGGCGGGGCAAGCGAGCATTGGGCAGGTGGGTCAAGACCGTGAGCGGCAACCAGATGACCGGGTTGAGGGCGTGGCCAGCCAGAAGTCACTGCCGGTTCAGCAACCCACGCCAAATCACTGCAAACTGGTTGAATACCACCTCTGGTATACTCATTCCCCATTTAACAACTACCTCAGTTCACAATCATTCACAAATACGACAGAAATAAAAATGTCACTTTTTGTCCAACATGCACATATATGATCAGATTTCATGTGCCTGACAACAGTGCACATTCGAGTGAGAATAACATCGGGTATCTGTACAAAAGCACTTTGTCTGAATGAGATGGCAGCAACCAGAGACCTCCACAGTATTCTTATCACCTGTCTCTACACTATCCAAAATAAGATAAACTTCCCTTATTGCATCCTTAATATTTATTTCTTCTAGGGGAAAATCCCTTTGAGACATATTTGAAGGGAAATTGGGGCACCCCCCCCCCAGATCATTTCAACGACTCCTTTCTTCATCTTTCCTTTAACATGCTTTATAGTCATAATGAAAGTTTTGTTGCCATTTTTTTCAGAGATAAAGGACAATTTATTAGATACAATGTTTCTGGATTTTTCATGGGAGTAACTAAAAATCCATAGATAAAAAGATTAATTAAGGGTCCCAGGCATGAGTAAAGTGGGAATTCCTTTTAGTTTTTATCTTTTAATTACAAGCACAATTACTGATAGTGTCAGCCTTCAAGATTTTCTCCCTATGCTTGGCATCTTTCGGCTGTCATAAGTAAGGGCGGGGGGAGGAGGGGGGAATAATTATGGGAAGTGAGCTGGAGGTGTTACAAACCAGAACTGTATAAACTGGGGGGGTGGGGTACATTCTTGCTTAGGTTTCTATCTTATGCTATGCGCAGCTGCAACCCTTTATCAAACTATGTCAAGGTCAACGGACAGAAGCCTCATCACCACCTGGAGATGCCCACATGATGCTATACACACCTTTTAATTGGATGAGCCAATTAAACTATTGGGGGTGGGAACGTTGCCATTGCTTTGTATATGTGATTTACTCGCCCATTTTCTCAGATTCAGAATAATGTCAGCTGGTGCTCCATTCAAAATCCAAGAAAGAAATACTTAAGACTCCTTTAATCAGAGAAAAGGTATCTTTTACTGGAAATCAAGTGGTAGCAACAAAAGAATTCTGAATACTGAATACTTCCTTTAAGTCCCAATATTCCTCCGGAATTTTCTCCTCCCCCTTCAGGTTCTCGGTGCCAGTGGAGGCCAGTTCAGTGGGATTCTTGAGTTTCGGTTGAGATTGCACCTCCCCTTCTGGGTGCTGGTCAGTACGTATGCGCAATGACCCTCTCCAATCAATGTGGGGGTTCCATTTCCGGAGCCAGGGCAACCCCAGTATTAGGGGCCGCTCCATCCCAGGAGCCACAATAAAACACAAAGTCTCTCTATGCCTCCCCATCGTCATTTCTATTGGTTCCGTTATGAAATGTGCAGGGCCGCCCCCAGCTACCGGTCCATCCAATTGGCAAAAGGCTATGGGCATTTTTAAAGTCTTTACCCTTAAGCCCATTTTCTCCAGTACCTCCGAGCTGACTACACACCTTGCGCGCCCAGAGTCTAAGAAGGCCAGCATTTCCCCTTTGGCTCCCAACGTGGGTACCCTTAATCTCACTGGAATGGTCATAGGGCCCTTGTTTGGATTTACCAGTGCGTAATCTTCCGATTCAGATTCACTCTCTTCAGAAGAGGTTGGAGTTCCCAGCTCCTCTCCTTTCGGAGGGGCGACCTCTACAACCTCCTCTGCTTTTAAGCGCCGCTTCGCGCGGCTTTGCTGGGGTTTTTCCAGGTTTTCTTCCTCCTCCTGGCGCCCCCTTTGGCTCTAGCTTGGCATGGCAATCTGCAGCCCAGTGACCTTCCTTCCCACATCGGAAGCAAGCAGTGGTCTCGGGCTTTGCCACCATTCCTCCCTTTTGAGGTTTTAAGGCTTCTCGGGGGCTGGCAGCTGCCAGATAGTCAAAATAGAAGCCATATTTAATTTTAACCAGTTACAGTTACATTTCACTCCTTCCTCACCGGTTTCTTTTGATTTTATGGAAGCTCTGATTTTTGGAGAGGTTAAGATTTGTTTCCCTTAACATGTCAATATTGAATTTAACTCTTCTTATGACTTTTACCTTTTCCTCTGGCTCTTAATTTCTTTGATAATAGTCAAGAAAGGGGAAATTGGCACATCAGCCAAAAGTGACCAGTCTGAACTTTAAGATTCTTATCATTGATTGAAGCTTTATATAAATTTAAAATTAAAAACTACCAGGAAATTAAGAGCCAATGTTAAATTTGTGTAAAGCTTTGATCAATCATCACAAGAAACTTAAAGTTCAAGTTGGTCACTTTTGGCTGATGTGCCAAGTTCCTGTTTTTTGACTAAGCCTTCCCTATTTCTTTGTCTCAATTTTCTGAAAGGGAAATTATCAGCAAAACCATTTCCAAGAAGTGTAGTGTTTAGCTTCTTAGCTCTAGCATTTTAAGGCCACTGCCATCACCCATATCCTCTTCAAACTGTTACTCTCTTCCACTGGCCATGCTGCTTTGGAAGGTTGCTTCTAACCAAGTTCCTGCTCCTTCAATTCCTATAAATTTAATTCTCTGGAATCAGGCAGTGATCCACTTGCTACTCCAATCTGACTACTTCCTGAAGCACCACTACAAGCCGGCACTTGTTTCAAGTTCATAGTTTATTAACAAGAGTCCCCTTTCCGTGTTTAAGATACTATCAATCAAAAGCTTTTGTTTCTTCCTGTTCTTTTCTTTGCTTACAAGGTGCTGTTGACTTAAAGAATGAGAATTCCTATGCTTTCACTTGATCAGTCTGTGGAATTTGTGTGCCTTACATTTCTTCTACGTTCTCCACTTACTCATCAGGAAGCAGTAATTTAATAACTCTATACAATATTGCCAATAAATATTTGCCAGGAGATGAAGAATGCAATCCCTTAGCACCTACAGCTTTTCTGGTTCCTCCTCTCTTCTTTCCTCCTGTTGAGTTCCTCTAACAAGTCCTAGTCCAGGGGCTGCCAACCTTTTGGATCTCAGGGACCACCGAACTCGTAATTTTAAATTCCAGGGACCACTAATCAGTTCTGTGGACATGGCCTAGTTTGTGGGTGTGGCTTGGTGGTCATGTAACTGGCTGAGCATGGCTTGTATGTAAATATTATATTTATATAAATATTGATTTTTTTATAAAAAGAGCAACTTTTACCCCAAATCAGGCAAAGCAGGCAAGCAGATTGAGTTGCTCACAGAATCACTGGTTCATTCAGAGATCTATCTGCCATTGGCTAACTCAGTCTGTCACATAAAATTTGCTTGCAAGCAAATTCATAAAATTTGCTAGCAAGCACTCACAAAATTAACTCACAACACATCATGTATGTAAATATTGAATTTTTTTATTTAAAAAAGAGCAACTTTTACCCAAAATCATTCAAAGCAGGCAGGCAGATTGGGTTGCTCACAGAATCACAGATTCATTCGGTGATCTATCTATCTGCCATCGGCTAGCTCAGTCTCTCAAATTTGCTTGCTGTGAGTCTGCACTGAATAATACAACCTTCAGTCCTAAGGGAGGTTCGGCTGTGCTTAAAAGCAGAGCCGAAGATCTAAAGACTAGCTAGAAAGCAAAAAATCCAAGCGTTTCCTGCTTCCTAGCTAATCTAAATCTCCTGGCAGAACAGATGATGGTTGGAAAAAGTCAAAATAGCAATTTAGCAGGCAAGTTTGCCTGGTAAGGAGCGAGTGGGTGGCTCATTCTCTTTATTCAAGCACGGTTGGAGACGTTCTTCTTGAAATATTCAGTGCCTCAATTTGAACCTCCCCAAATAATTTGGTTTTGTCAGCAAACCTGTCTACCTTACAGTCCACTTCCGATGTAAGTTTTTTTTTAATGTGGCACAACTCCTTATTTCCCCACCACCACACACACACAAAAAAAGGCCCACAAGAGGCCATTTGCCTAAATTTTAAATTGGAGGTGAAATCTGAGGGGAACACTTTCCTTCATAAAGATGCACCTCCCATCACTTAGATAACATAAGTAATGATTTGATCTTATATTTAAGACTTTTGGGATTTGAAGAACAAGTGGCAGTTGGAATGCAACTTTTTGGTCTCTCTTTCAAGCCGCAAATTTTAGATGAAGGAACCGGGATGTAGAAGCCAGGCGCAAAGTCGGTCTGACAGTCTCTCGCAAAGGTGGGAGAATCCCGACCCTCTGGAGAAAACTCCTCACGACCGGTGTCCCCCCCCAGCAGGACAAGGCGGCCGCCACCCCCAAGCCTGCCTTTCTCAGCCCCGACATCCCAGCCACCCGGGAACGGAGAGGCCTGCGATCTCTCGGCCGGGGCTCCGAGCCGCGCTTTTTTTCTCGTAGCTGGCGGCAATTGGCTCCGCGCTGCACCTTTTCGGCGCCCCGCCCGTCCGCCCGCCCGCCCGCCCGCCGGCCGGGGGGCGCAGGTAGAGGAGCCTGGCAGCGGCGGGAAGGCCAGAGGAGCCGTCGAACATGGCCAGCCTGGTGCCCCTCGTCGCGGCGCGGGGCCCACGAAGGAGATCCGTGAGTAAGCCAAGCGCGAGCTCCCCGAGGAGAAGGCGAGGGAGAGGGAGGAGAGCCATCTTGCTCCAGCGATCCACGTGGCTCAGCCGCGCGGGTCGTGTGTGCGCGGCCCCTTCCTCGGAAGTGACCCGTCCGGGACTCGCTCCCGAGGAAGCGGCGCCCTCACGGCGTTGGCCTTTTTCCCCTCAGAAAGGAGCCGAGGGTCCCTCCCGGCTTTGGAGGCACCCCAGAGGAGGCTCCGGTGACAGGTGCCTCTTCCTCGTGACCCGCCGACTTTCCTCTGCCAGAAGGCCGGGGGTGGGGGGGTCTCCCTCCAAGGGCCAAGGAAGGGAGGAGAGCGGGCTCGGCGTCCCGCTCACGAAGACGCTTTCCCGGCCTTTCGGAATCGCGGGGACGGATCCCCGGGGAAACTGGGAGGCCCTTGCGGAGCACCCCTCGGGCACCCGGGAGCGGGGGTCTCACGGCTGACGGGCGCTCCGAGGGAATTGGGCTTCTCCCCTCCACACAGAAGCCGGGGTCGGGGCGGGGAAGGAGGAGTTAGAAAGGGAGCAGACCGAGGTTAAAGTGGGGTTGGGGGGGGAGCCGCAAAGTTGAAGAGAACTTTGGTGCTGCAGCTGTTGGTTTCATAGCTAAAAATACTACAGATTGGAGGTCTCGAGGGAGATGATGCGGGTTATTATTAGGTGTTGGGAAGGAGGACAATGCAGCCCCACAGAATACCGTAGGTCCTCGACTTACAGCAGATCCTTTAGTGACCATTCCAAGTTACAATGGCGCTGAAGAAAGTGACTTACGACCCCTTTTTCACGTTTATGGCGGGTTGCAGCCTCTCCAAGGTCACGTGGTCAAAATTCAGAGGGTTGGCCACTAGTTTACATTTAGGATGACTGCCGTGTGATGCGGTCATGTAGTAATAAGCTTTTGTGAACTTGAAACAAGCAAAGTCAAGGAGGGATCCAGGTTCACTTAATAACAACATTAGTACCTTAAGACAGTGGCCCCCAACCTTTTTTGTGCCACGGCCCGGTACCGGCATCACAAAATGATCCGCGGCACGGTACCGGCATCAGCACGCATGGCAAGGCAAGCCGAGCGACCGGCCAGCCAGCCGTCCCCGGCTTCTCCCCACCACCTTTGTCGATGGGCTTTGCTTCAGGATGGCTTCGGGACAGTTGCTCGGCTCGCCTTGCCTTGGGTGCTGAAAGAATCCTTGCGCCTTAGTTTCGTTCGAAGCCGCCCCCCCTTTGATGAAACTAAGGCACGGGGATTCCTTCAGGACCCAAATGCCGCTTTCCAACTGGAAAAGCTCACCTGGAAGCACTTTCTCGTCAAACAAGATGGCGGCACCCAGCAAACCAGCAGCCCGGTAGGAAATGTTCCACTGACTGGTACCGGTCCGCGGCCCGGTGGTTGGGGACCCCTGCCTTAAGAAATGCAATGAATCACTTAACAACGGTGGCCAGGGAAGTTATAAAGTTGGGCAAACTCACTTTACAAATGTTTCTACTTAGCCACATAAATTTTGGGCTCAGTTGTGGTCGTAACTCGAGGATGCCCTGTGCACGTATTATGTCTGCATTTCTCAGGACACCAACCAGTAGGACCCCGTGGCTCGCATCCCAGCCTGAATGTCATTCCACCCCGGCCCTTCACGCGAATGACAATGGTACACCGCACCCGCCCATTCATTCTACAGCCTGGCAGCCTCTTTTGCCTTCCAGCTTCACTTTCCGCCATCCTGGCTCCCTCCCAGGTCCCATCCAAGGGTCATTGGTGAAGGAGGGATCTGGCTAGGCCTAACATTCTTTTTTATTATTATTATTATTAATCATATTTCCACCATAACACCACATTTCCATTCATTACGGCATTCCTGTATCGGCATTCACTCATATTAACATAGTTTCTAATTATATAGGTTACTGTTCTATATGTTACATAATTATTTCTACATTTAACTTGTAACAGTATTTACAGAATACTGTAACAGTATACAGTATAAACAGTATTTCCCCATTTTATTATAGCTCCTACATACTCTTCATGTAACAATTTTACGTCTGTTTTTTAACCAATTATACCATATATTCCAGATCTTATAGTATTCCATTTCTTCTCTATCTTTTAATTCCATAGTTAACCTGTCCATCTCTGCACACTCAAGAACCCTTTTTGTTAGCATTACATCAGAAGGAATGTCTTGTTTCCAATTTTGAACAAAAGCAATTCTGGCTGCGCTTATTATATGGAGTATAACGTATTGAAGTTTTTTTTACAGGTATTTTGTCTTTATATGCCCAATAAAAATAGTTCTGGTTTCATCTCAATTTTTTGTTTGGTAATTTCTTCTAGCCAATTCTTTACTTTAAGCCAATATTTCCTAGCTTTTGGGCAGGACTACCACATATGAAATAAAGTTCATTCTTTATAGTTACATCTCCAGATTTTCTCTGTAGGCTGTTGACATTGTTAATTTGTAATTTTTCCCCTACAATTTTTCCCAGTGTTCCAATTCTATACTATAACCCAAAATTTTGACTCAGATTATCACAGTCTCTTTAACTGTTTCTTCCTCCATTTTGAATCTTAAAAGATAACTATATGTTTTAGTAATCATTCCCCCCTATCCCCTGTAATATTTTGACCAGTTCCTGTTGGTCTTTATAAAAACCGTATTGTTCTAGGTCTTTTTTGTACCTTTGCATCTTTCTATCTTGTTTAAATCTAGCACATTGGGATGTATCATGGCCTCTCAAGTCGATAACCAGTTTGGGATTTTCATATAATGATTCTTCCTGATTTTCTTCCAGACATCTAGCAGGGCATCCCTCACTTGATGTCTCTGGAAATAGAAGTGTAATTTGTTTTTCCCCCTCCCATAAGTCTTCCCATAAGCTGACATATGATGTTACAGTATCGGTGAACAGAAGCCACTTTAAAAACATTCCAATCAGCAGAGGCATCTTCAAAAACATTCCAGTCAGTACAATCAAGGCAAGCCGGGAGCTTCAGCTTTGCCTCATCTGACCAAGTCCTCACTGATTTAATTGTTGGTTTTATGGTTTGTCTGTAGGCAGGTACAAAGTGAATCATGCAGGGATCAGAGTGTCCCACAACTGCTTGTGGTAAAGACCGACATGCATCTTTTACTGCTGGGTAGCAGTGGTCGAAAGCAGTGGTCACCAACCAGCAGGCCACGGGCCACTGGTGGGCCACGAGAAAATTTTGGTGGGCCGCAGAGAAATCTCACCCCCAGGGCACCCACCCCCAAAGCAATCAATCCAGGCTGCGCAGAAACACAAGGCTGCACCGCCCACATGGCCTGTGGGAACCCTTCCTGCCCACTCACTCCTTACCCGGTAAACTTGCCTGCTAAATTGCTATTTTTCCTTTTTCCAACCATCATCTGTTCTGCTGTGCCGGGAGATTTAGATTAGCTAGAAAGCAGGAAATGGTTGGATTTCTTGCTTTCTAGCTAGTCTTTAGATCTTTGGCTTTGCTTTTAAAGTACAGCCAAACCTCCCTTAGGACTGAAGGTTTGCTTGCAAGCAAATTCAGTGCAGACTCACAGCAAAATCAGAATTGCATCTATTTAAAAAGAGTATTCCATCCATCTTTTTAGCAAGTGAGCATAAATTAGTCAGAAAGATTGAAGGAAGAGGGGTTTTTTTTACATAAAGATTTTTTATATTCTGTTTTTCCAACATGCAATCTTTGCCAAATTCACATTCAATAGTCTTTATTAAAGATAAGAATTTTTGCCTGGGCTTGTTGACTAAAAGATGGAATAATCTTAAGGAAACTGGGGTGGAATCCAAATTACTGGGATTCATATCCAAAAGAGAAGTGCGTACGAGATGACAAAGATAAATTTTGTATCTACATACTTACCTAAATTTCTCTTTGTCATCTCTTTGGAGACTGAACAGGAAATCTGTGATTCAAATTTTTGCTACAAGGATCTGTGTTTCAAGAAAGCAGTGTACTTTTCCTTCATTATTGTTAGAAAATACTCTATCTTCTGTTTATCTGAATATCCAATGGGTAACAATCAAATAATCATCTGATGTAAAGGATGGCTTCAGGCTTAGTGTAGAATATGTCAATTCATTATTTTTGGTAATTGTAAATAGATAATTTACCTCTGGCCATTTTTAGAAGTTAATTCCATTCTGTTTTTGTTTTAATGGGACCCATTACTGTACAAAAAGTTCTATAACTGCTCTAGATTTTGATTATACTAGGAGAGAGTGACACTGTCTAGAAGTGAGGGGGTTTGTACATCTGGGCATTAGGTTGTGTGGAGGCTAGTCAAAATTATTTTTTTTAAAAAAGGATTGTTACAAATTGGTGCTCTTGCTGAAAACAGAATCTTTTTTCCTTAAGAAGTAAAAAAATAAGAAAATAGTTTCTCTGGAAATGATTAAGAAAAACGTTATAGAGAAGTCACTCCTGAAGTGAATCAACATCATATTTCAGGATTTCTGATTCTGACCAATATCTCAACTTTTCCCATATCTTGTCCCTCAAGCACAACTCCAAGAATTTCAAGCAGCCCATCATGGACAACATCTGAATTGATTTTTTTTTGGGGGGGGGGGGAATTGTAGACTTAGACCACGGGTGTCAAACTCACTACATTATGTTGCTGTCAGATGATGTTTCATGATATTTTCCCCATTTGCGGAGCTGGTGTGTGTGTGTGTGTGTGTGTGTGTGTGTGTGTGTGGCCTGCATGTGACGCATCCAGCCCACAGGCTGCCAGTTTGAAACCCCTGACTTACACCATCAGCGGTTCTTCAAGCTGGAGTAGGCTTGCATAAGCAGATTTGAATAGACAGGTTGCTCGATTTTTTTTAGGTAGCTCCTAAGTAATTTCTGTCGTTTCTAATAAAAAGAATTCTCTTTTTATTTCAGGACTGGTCCATTAGCCTTATAACAGCGTCTTTGGCTGGAGCCTTTGGGTCCTCCTTCCTCTATGGTTACAATCTCTCTGTGGTGAATGCTCCGACAGTGGTGAGAAAATGATTCTTTAAAGTCTAAAATCAGTTTGGCAGCAATGGGATGCAGTAAGATAAAATTTTTGTAGCATTGGTCTACACTTGTCCTGTATTCCTCGTTTCCTTGTCCAGCTCTTAAACTGGCTCTTTCTCAGCAGAAGAGCAACGAAGATGTTTCAATTCTCTGGAATTATTATGATTGCATAGTTTCAAAAGGACTTTTTATTAATTGTTCATTTTTATCTACACTTAATATATTAATTGGCAGCCATTATCTTTTTAAGTGAGTTCATACTACAATAGTGGCCAAAATTGTGGAAACCTTTGGGGAAAAGTGTATTTTTGAAGTTTGATGGCTAATAAGGCGCCTCGGTAGCACAGCGGTTAGTGTGCAGTACTACAAGCTTCTCCTACTGCAATTTGGCAGGTCGAATCCCACCTGGTTCAAGGTCGACTCAGCCTTCCATCCTTCTGAGGTGGGTAAAATGAGGACCCAGATTGTTGGGGGCAAGAGGCTGACTCTGTAAACTGCTTTGAGAGGGCTGTAAAGCACTATTAAAGCGGTATATAAGTCTAAGTGCTATTGCTAATAACACCACTTTTGGGGGAGTAGTAGTACCATAAAATTATATATCAATGGAAAGATAAGAGGGAAAAAAATCTGCCTCTGCCTACCAACATCCATCGGTATTCGTCTGGCTAGTGTCCTGTCAGTGTGTGAGAGAGTTGAGGGCTGTTTGGAAACTGAAGCAGTATTTGCTGCATGAGCAAGGAGACAGCAAGGAGCCTGGGCGTGGCTTAGATCAACTGTTCTGTGCTTCACAGCTTGGTGCTGTGAAACCAAAACTGAAACGCCTCTCCTCTGCTTGTGTTTTGCATTTGGAAGAGATTTCTTTTCAGGTGGGGATGGGGAGTAGAACATCTGAGCATCAGAATGTGTTACTAATATATGAAATACTAATGCCCTGATGGTCATTTCAAAAAGTCCTTTCTTAGTGAGTACCTAAAAGCCATACAGGCCAAATTTCAAGTTTGTAGGCTTTATGGTTCTGGAGATTTTGTGATGATGCATGAGTGGTATTTCATTTATATATATATATATATAGATGAATCACACAAATTCTACCCACGCCTTTTGATGTCATACAACCCCAGATCGTAACACTGGGTGTTTCATGGTCCATGTAATGCAATCAGGATGCAAATCTTCTCCGATTCTTCTCCTTCCGTATTTTATGCCATTACTACCAGACAGGAAGATCTTGACCTCATCGCTCCACATAACGCTGTCCCATTGTTCCTCTGTCCAGGTAACAGGGGCTGTAGCCCAGTTTAGTCTTTTCAACCTTTGTTGAACCTTTCAACCTTTTCAACCTTTGTCCAAAAAAAGTGGTATTAGCCATCAAACTTCAAAAATGCACTGTTCCCAAAAGGTTTCCACAATTTTGGCCACTACTGTATCTTGAAGTAATTAATATATCTCAAAGTGGATATTTATTTATTTTCCTGATTAAATTTAATAAACAACAAGAGGGAATCTATTCCCTTCAGTGGAAGCAATATTCTTCTACTTCTGATTTTATTTTTCCTTGCTTGCTTAGTTTGCGTAAGACTGCATATTAACATCCAGATATGGTTATCCTTATTGTTTTTTATGCAGGTAGTCCTCAATTGTGATAGTTCACTTAGTGACATTTCAAAGTTGCAACCCCCTCCCCCCCAAAGTACTTATGACACAGATCCGAAGTTATGAACGTTGCAGCATCAGTGCGGTCATTCACCCTTACGAATGACCACAGAGACATTGCAACATCCCCCCTGACTATTATTCCCACCCCTCACAGGGACCTAACAGACAAGGGTCATGCTGTGCTAGTCCGCTGGCTCTTTCCCGCCTCATTGCCGATTGATTGTTCACTTACCTTTTGAAGATCCAGATTTTCAGAACAGGCCGACGGCTCCTCCTCTCTCCTCAAGCGAGCTGTCTCTTCTCCAGCCTCTCTGCTGTGGGGTTTGTATGGCAGCATGGTTTCTTGGCCTGCTCCCGGCGCCCCAAAAATGGAGCAGTGAGAGTAGAAGCAGAACAGGACAGTCAACTTGGCTGACTTAACTGAGGCTGCTTGTGCAGTACACCCGATGCACTTCTCTTTTTTTGCAAAAAGATGGAAGGCTTCAAGCAGCGTGAGATTGCTACCCCCGAAAACTTCCATCCCTTTGCAAAAGCTTTTGGTGCAGAGAAGAGAAACCTTTGGGGCACAGTCTCGGGGCCCTTCAAGCTTCTATTTTCCACGCCAAAAGCTTTTGCAGAGGGGCGGAAGGTCTCAAGCCGTGTAAGATCGCTCCCTCCATCCTTTTGCAAAAGCCTTGGGCATGAAGAAAATTAGCCTTTGGGGGTTTGGTCTTGTACTCCTGCAGACCCACCGAGGCCGCCTGGCACTCCAAAAGTGGTTCAGGTGTCCTGCTTAGGTAGCTTAAAAAGTACAAAGAAGAGGCACAAGAAGGGAAGGGTTCCTTTGGCTTGGTTTTTCAATTCTTAGAAATGGAGATTTGGAACTATGAGAAACAACAAGAAAAGACTGCAAAACAAGAAGAGTGGGACAAAGAGGAAGCCATTTTTAAAGAACAAGTATCTCTATGTGGGGGAGAAAAAGGAAAGGGGAGAAAGAGAATGGAGAATTTAAGATTTAAAAAAACAACCAAAGAAAAGAAAAATAATTCGAAAAATAAGTATAATACTGGAAAACAGCAGAAAAGAGGAATACAGAAGAGGGAAGTAGACAAAGGGGTAAAAAGGGGAGGGAGAAGAAGAGAGGGAAGAAGGAAAGGAAAAGAAGTTACAAAGGTCTGGAGCAAGATATAAAGAAACAGGAGCTATTTAGAGATAATGGGTAAAAATTTAACTGAAAGGGGGATTCTGTAAAGGTACATGAGATTGTGTTGTTATATTTGAAATAGAAATAACTTTAGAAAATTGGAAACAACGTATGATTAGAATGAGGGATAGAATGGTTAGTGTAACTTAGTGAAATGTTTGTGAATAAAATAAATGAAATAAATGAGAAAATTGAATTAGGAAGGAATGAGAACACTTTAATTAGTCAATGTTTTATAAAATATAAGTGAAGAGGGCAGGAATTGATTATGGAAAGCTAATAATTGTTCCCATAGAGGTATGATATTTAATTGAAAAGTAATGTGAAAAATCTTAAGACTTTAATGAATTTTAATATTAATGATAGAATTGAATTGGAATGGAATGTTGTTTTAATTATATACATTTATAATTTTTTCTTTTTTATAAGAATATTGTGTGTAGTTTAAGAATGTACCAAACAGAATCCGTATGGAAGCTATGTATTATATTGAGTGTTATAGTTTTAGGGAAAGATATAAAGGCGTCATACTCCAATCAGTAACTACAGGAGAAATTTTGTTTAATGAGAAAAGATAATAGACAATTGAAACAGGACAGACAAAAAATATAAATATAATGATTTGAATTGAGATGAAATAAATATAATAAAATTGAGGAAACTAAAAGAGGGGAGAAGCCATGTATAAAATGTAAAATTGTAATAAGATATGGAATAGAATATAAAAATGAGCATGAACCTGAAATTGTGTCTGCACGAAGAAATGTAACCTGGGATTATGCTGCTTTCAAAAAAGATGTTTTAATTGTGTTTCTTTCCTTTTTGTGAAAACTCAAATAAAATTTACAAAAAAAAAAAAAGGAGAAAAGAGCATTTGTTACATAGTTACTTCGGTAGAGTTCCAGTATTATTGATGGTCATTCATGATGGTCATACAAAGTGCAGATTGTTATTTTTCACTAGAACGCTAAATTAGTCACGGTGAAATTGTGTTTATCTTGTACCTTTGATCCCATTACTTGCACTTTGGTCATTGATGAAATCCATTACTTGCTTCAGCAATTGATCTAGTAAACACTGACAGGACATTTTATTCAAATGCGACTTCTGAAATGACTTCTTCATATTTACAGCTGAATGTAAACCAGTACCTAAATGGTATCAATTATTTTCCCCCTCAAATAACAAAGAAGTGGTTAAGTTATTTAATTTGGAAAGGGACTATGCAAAATATAGTCTTCAACTTATGACTACAGCTGAGCCCTACATTCCCAATTTTCCTTCCTAAGTAAGACAGTTGTTAAGTGAGTTTGGCCCCATTTAATAAACTTGTCACAGTTGTTGAGTAAATCACCGCAGTTGTTATCTTAGTAGCACAGTTGTTAGGTGAATTTGGCTTCCCTTTATTATTTATTTCACATATGGCACGTGTTAGCCAGGGATCTCCGAGGTGCCTGACTGCCTCTGTGAAAGGAATTTTTTTGGGCAGTGTTATCTTTACTTGTGGGATGCCTGAATGTTGGTAGGCCACTGAGGGAGTCTCCTTTCTTATCCCTCTGAAGATTATTTGCTCACGGGAAGCGAGCCGCCAAGCTGTCAACCTCAGCGGTATGCAGGCCCAGCGTCTTACCACTCGAGCCACCGTGGCCCCTGGCTTCCCTTGGACTTTGGCGGTCAGAAAGTCACCCCAGGAAACTGCAACCATCATAAATAGTTGCCAAAGTCTGAATTTTGATCACATGACCATGGGGATGCTGCAAGAGATTTAAGTGCAAAAAACGCTCATGTCACTTTTTTCAGTGCTGTTGTAACTTCAAATAGTCACTAAACAAATAGTTGTAAGTCGAGAACTACTTACACAATCATTGCAAATGAAAAAAGAACATCTAAAAATTTAACACTTCCAAGGCAAGTTAAATGCTGAGTTTTTCAGTGACATAATAAATAAATATTAAAAGGAGGAGAAAAACAGGTTTTTCTTTTTATGTTCCAAGTAGTTTAGTCTTTCTCAATCTGGGTATTTCTGGAAATGTTAGAATTTCCTCTGAAGTGTGAAAAAATAATTGAGATGCCAACTATTTTTTTTAAAGTCTGTAATGCAGGTACCACCTGTTCAAATTGCAGGATTCATGGGTGAATCTCAGAATCTCGGTGACTTTAAAGGGGCGTCTGTGAATCAAGAGCACATTGAAAAAGGAAAGTAGGGATGGGAATGAGAACGTTGAAAGGACCCTCGCACAACCTTTCTTAGTTTCTTAGAAATGCTGTTTTTCTGGAACTAAAGGAGGAATTGGCATCTTTTTTCCCTCAGAACTTTTGGAGCAACATAATTTATCCCACTTTTTTATATTAAAAGCATTCGAAGTGGATTTACTAGTTTAGAAAATATTTTTAAAAGCACCTTTAAGGAGCGTAAAGGGATTTTCCATTTCTGAAACCAACCTTAGTGCCTAGTTGTGATATTTGCATCCAGTTTGATCTTCCAGGTGGACCAAGTAAATAAATTGCAGGGGAGCTGCTGAAGGCAGAAAAATACATCACTTCCACTCTAGTCTAAAACTACTGCATTGCTCATTGACTTCTGTCTTTGAGGTGTTTCCTTGTCTTCAGTGAACCAACTAATTATCTCTGTCTCTTACCTCAATATTCTGCACAACATAATCTAATATGTGGAGGGAGCTTGTGGCAAATTCCGTTCCTTTCTTTCTTTATAGCATTCAACATTTATGGCACTTCTTTGGCTCTGGGATTTAGGAAGCACTGAACATGACTATGCCTGCTTATCTCTCACTCTGGCTGGTTGGATGTGCTCCAGTGATGGAAATCTTAAGTTGTTTGGGCAGTTCCTTACTGATAGAAGCCTCTCTGGAAACCCTCTTGGGAGAATTGAATTCCCAAAAGTAGAACTCCTGGTTTGACCATATTGTCCAATTATGAGACCGTTTGTTGTTATCAGAACAGTCCATCTCTTTCTCAAGCACCTGCAGTGGGGACCTTGCTGGCTCCAGGCTCTCACGATCCCTGCATACATTCTCCACATTCCATTTCCCTCCCGCAGTTCATTGGCAAGTTGAAAAGCATTAGGTTTGAAAGAAGCAAAGTGGTTCAATCTTGACAGTCTGAAAATTATGTAGCAGTAAACAATTTTGTGGTTGGATTTTCATAAGCATGTTTTTCGTAATGATAGATTCACTCCATTCCAGCTGGAATCTGAGTACAATCGTATCTTGGCACTCGACTAGTTCAAAACACCTTGAATTCGGTATTCTATGTCAGAAATCTTGTCCCGGTGCTCATTTTTCTCCTGGTAGTCAGGAAGAACCTGCTGATGTCAGCTGCCTCGTGACTTGCTATTTCTTCCAGCTCGGTACCTGTCAGTTTTGGTATTCGATGTGTTTTTCGGAATGGATTACCGATGAGGACTGTATAATTAATGATAAAAGAGTTTGCATGCTTACCTGCGTTATTTCTGGAGCCCTTTTAGAGAGCAGTTGATGTTGTCCATGAGAAGGATTGTAGTTGAGGACATATTGTATGACCAACTCTCAGACTCAGTATTCCAGGAACTATTCCAGATCCTTGGAATTAGAGAGTCGTAGGAAAACCTACAGCACTGAAGAGATCCTATTGGTCCGGTAGAATAGGAGCACTTCACCTTTATCATCACCCCATCTTTATTTTGTTCAACTCAAGGTGGTGTACATAATGTTTTTCTGCTGCTATTTTCTCTGCAATAATGACCATGAGAAAATTGGGAAGGAGGGTGCAAGCACTACTCAGGAATGTTTGAAGACCTTTTGGTCTGTAGCCTCTACAAATATTGTAATCATCCTACAGAGGTGAATGACGGAGCCTACCGCCCCTCTGCCCTCTCTCCTGATGACTAATGGAGTGGGGGCAGGCTTGCTCCTCTACACAAATACAGGAAGCCATTAGCAACCTTTAAACTTTCAAAATAGGACCTAGGGGGATTTCCCATTTCACATGTTGCATAAAGCTCTGTGTCAGTAGTCAAGTTGGTGTAAAATGCACATTCCATTTAAAAATAAGACTCCTTATAGCGGAATTTTTAAGTATTGAATTTTTTTTTAAAAAATGTTTATTTGTAATTATATTTGTCTGCACTGATAAGTATTTATTTATTTGTTTGTTTGTTTATTTATTTATTGCAATTGCTTGTAGTATATTAAGAAGTTTTACAATGAAACCTGGGAACGAAGATACAACCAGTCAATCACTGAACAGTCACTTACCTTGCTGTGGACTTTATCTGTCTCCATTTTTGCTATTGGTGGACTTGTGGGTGCATTAATTGTTACTCCAGCTGTCAAGTATTTTGGTCGGTAAGTATTACACTGAAAACAATACTGTGCATTTTTTTTTCTTTTAATACATGATATAACAAAAAAAAATGCTCTTCTACCTGATATTTTGGCATCTGCATTTAAAATGTTGACTAAGATACTTCCCATAATAAAGCAGTTGTGATTATTAGCAACTAATAATGTATGCAATGCAATTTTGTATAAATTGGGGTGTTTTTTTTTTAAAGTTCTTGTACTTTTAAAAATATTGTTTAGAAGTCTAAAGTAGCAATCAGTCTCTGGACTGAGCTATCAGTTTTTGTATCTCTTTGCTGCCATCTAGTGATACGAGTTCTATTTGCATCAAAATTGATTATTTCTCAATAAATCCAACAAGAATATCCTGATATATGAACCCATAATTCTCCTCAAACCAAGTGCAGGAGGATTGGTTTATATCCTATACCAAGAGTAGACAGTTTCTCTCACATTTTCTTCACCAACTAAAATAATTTTGGAGAGGAAACATCATCAATAAGTTGCTATTTAGAATGACGTTGTATGCTAAGTTTGTTCCTTTAAACATGGACTGCCTAGGCCAGGGGTGTCAAACTCAATTTCATTGAGGGCCGCATCAGGGTCGTGTTTGACCTCAGAGGGCCCAGGTGGTGGTGTTTGGAGTGGGCGTGGCTGGGGTGGGTGTGGCCATTGTGGGCGTGGCTGGGGTGGGCGTGGCTGGGGTGGGCGTGGCCATTTTGGGCGTGATATACAGGACTCTACAGACTGGGTCTGCTTTGCTAGCAAACCATTTTTATATCCTACAACTGTTTACGTATGTGACATGCAAGTGTGGCAGTTGCAGGAATGCAATCTTGTAGAACGCTGCAATTTCTGCAACTGTTGTCATAAAACTAAACCTAACCCATTGGTTTTACTTCCAAAACAACCCCCAAAACACATCAAAGGGACCATCAGCCACCAGTCAGTTTTGCTTTACTCTTCCTATGGGTTTGTTTCGTTTTCTTGTATTTGGGATTCGTACTATTTGCTTGAATTTTTATTCAGTCTTGCATTTATGATGTGAAGTATTATAAGCTGACTAACAGTGGCCTGCTTCCTTTGGTTCTCAAGATATTCTGAACCTGCAATGCTCCTGAGTACTTTTTGACTATAGAATTGGCTTCTTCAAATAGACCTTCTGGTGTGAAGTAATAATCATAGTATTATAGGGCTAGAAGGGACCTTGAAGATCTTCTAGTCCAGGGGTGTCAAACTTGCATTGTCACAGTGTTGTCATGTGATGTATCAAAAAACTTTTTCCCCCTTTGCTAAACCGGGCATGGGCGTGGCCAGTGTGTGATGCATCCAGCCCACGGGCCGTAAGTTTGACAGCCTTGTTCTAGTCCAACCCCTCCCAAGGCAGCAGTCCTTATTCTACCCCAGACAAATGGTTGACCATATATTTCTTCAAAACCACCAGTGATGGAACATACACAATTCTGGGGGGCAAGCTATTCTATTGATTAATAGTTTTCACTGTCAGGAAATTCCATTTTAGTTCCATGTTGAATTTCCCTCTAATTAGCTTCTTGTCATTGCTTCTTGTCTTGCCCTCAGGTGCCCTGTAAGAGCCTTTCAAGTATTGGAAGACTGCTATCATGTCACCTGTAGGGCCACACAGGATGGACTTTGTAATTCTTGAAACATGGTTTTGGTAGTATTGTTGCACTGGCTGCCTAACATGGTTTTTCTTGTATTTTAAATTTGCCTTTTCAAATGTTAATAATTTGCCATAAGTCTTAATCTTCAAGAAAATCCTCTCTTTTAGGAACCAGGACTGGCAGGAGAGCATTTGATAAGTTTCTAGTATTTCTAGTCTGTCTTTTACAGTTATGTTTTTGGTAGGTTAGATTATAGTTTCTTTTTGTGTGAAGACTGATGCAAAGAATGGGTTAAGCAGTTCTGCTTCCTCTCTGGTGCCTGTTACTTCCTTGCCCTCTTCTCCGTTTCCTTGATTTTTTTTCTTGTTATTTATACATTGAAAGAAACTTTTGACTTTTGTTGCAATTCTTTGTTCGTTCTGAGCCGTTGCTTTCCTGACTTCATCTTTGCAGATTCTGGCTATTTGCTGATATTCAGCCTTAGTTGTGTGTCCCTCTTTCCATTTTTTGTACTTGTTCTTTTTGTCTTTCAATTTGTCAGATCTTTGTGCAACCATGCTGGCTTCTTCTTGGATTTCTTGTTTTTCTTTCTCATTGGTTTTGTGCTGGTCTGGGCTTTTGGAAAATAATTGGAAGAGACCTTGGAGGTCTTCTAGTCCAACTCCATGCTGAAGCAGGAGACCCTATAGCCTACACCATTTCAGACAAGTTCAGTCTCACTGGCATTATGGACATACCTTTGACTCACTCTATCTGTTGAGGCAACTTTTAATTATATTATTTTATGAAAAACTGTTTATCTGGCAATATAAGGATGTAATAAGTAATTTGTTTTTGTTTTTTCTTCAGAAAGCGAACGCTCCTGCTGAATAACACGTTTGCCATTGTGGCTGCATTACTTATGGCCTTCTCACAGCTGGCAGGAGTCTTGGAAATGATTATTTTGGGCCGATTCATAATGGGCATTGATGGAGGTACGATTTAATTTGTGCAAGATACTCATGTTTCGTGAATATTCTGCAGTCACTGCACTCCAGCCTTTTAACATCTTAACTGAACTAGTTGAAAATAGCCGAATCAAGGAACTACCGAGACCGCTCCGGACAACACTCTCGGGATAAGCCACTAGTACCGTGATGGCGAACCTTTGGCACACATGCCAGAAGTGGCGCACAGAGCCATCTGTCCGGGCACACCAGCCGTTGCCCATTGCTCTTCCGGTTTCTGGCGCTGTCCCCCACCCACACGTGCTCTCCCGTTTCGGCACTCAGTGCTGAAAAGGTTCACCCACACTGCACTAGTATATATACTGACGGCAAACCTCACTCCCTCTAACATTGATGATGTTACCTAGTTTGGTAATGAAACGTCTGCAAAAAAACCCCCAATCAAGATCAAGAGCGCCAAAACTCCCACAGTTCGACCCTGAGCTGCAAATATTTTCTTCCGTAGGCATCAGCCTGCCTTCCTGCCTACAGTTTTTCCTTTTTATTTAAGTTATGTTCTTTACCATTTGTTTTTCTTTTTCACAGGAATATCTCTGAGTGCGCTCCCAATGTATTTGAGTGAAATTTCTCCCAAGCAGATCCGTGGGTCACTAGGACAAATCACAGCAATTTTCATCTGTATTGGTGTTTTCAGTGGACAGGTTTTGGGGCTACCTGAGTTATTTGGACAGGTCTGTAATAATTCTGAATCATTTATTCATTTTTGCACTCTTGTGTAAATTGAGATTGAAAGCCCATTAATTATAAACAAATAAATGATGTCCAGATATTCTTTGCTATAATATCAATATCAGTCTTGTGTAAATAAGTAGAAGCTGAACAACTTCATTTTTTGCTGGATAGTTTTTGATAAGACATGAGTTTAAAAAATTTTAAAAACTCCTTTTTACTGTCAATTTTTAAGAGAGACTGTAAGGATAGAAACTACACTCATCTGCACTCCTAACTTTACACTTATTGATGGTGTTGACATTCACAATTGAAAATATTTATTGTCAGGTTACATAATTGGCATTCTGCCTATAGAGCATCTGTTCTGTTATTGAACTGTGAATTTTGCCCATGTTTTAGTATTATATGTTTACATGAAATGCAGCAATATCAATAGTAACTTTATTGACTAATTACAGGAGTTCCTGTGGCCTTATCTGTTTGCAATGATTATTGTTCCATCAATTCTCCAAATTGGAGTCCTGCCTTTTCTTCCAGAAAGTCCTCGCTTCCTCTTACTTGAAAAAAATGACACCAAAGCAGCAGAAAAAGGTATTGTCACATTCATATTTTATCTCAATGGATCCTATTATTCACCTGGTTTAAAATCAAAGATCATAAGCACAAACGCACTATTGTTGTTGGTGGCAGTCTTCAGGTGCCACTACAAGCTGATAACTGGCCTGTAGGGTGGTTCTCCAATCTTTTTGGTTTGATAACAATATCAACAACACAGCAGTGCCGTGCTTAAAAATTACTCTTGCTCTGCCAAAAGGAAAAGGAGGTGATCATTGCATCGTTGTGTTTTGGATATTCTCTTCTGCTGGAACCAGTCCTTTATCTTTGTCTATAGAAATTATACGATAGATAGATAGATAGATAGATAGATAGATAGATAGATAGATAGATAATAGATAGATAGATAGATATAAATAGAGATAGAGATAGAGATGATAGATAGATATAAATATAGATATAGATAGATGATAGATAGATAGATAGATAGATAGATAGATAGATAGATAGATATAAATATAGATATCGATAGATAGATGATAGATAGATAGATAGGTAGATATAAGATAGATAGATAGATGATAGATAGATAGATAGATAGATAGATGATAGATAGATAGATATAAATATAGATAGATAGATGATAGATAGATTGATAGATAGATAGATGATAGATAGATGATAGATAGATAGATGGATAGACAGACAGACAGACAGACAAAGATAGAGATAGAGAGACTATACTTTCAGGGATCATTTCTATAGTATCCAACTAGAGGAATGCACTCGAAAGTGATCGGCTGAGATTCTCAGGCATCCAGGTTATGGTCTCCCCAAAGGCAGAATGAGACATTTCGGCATGGACCCTTGGCTGCGCCTCCTTTGCCTCCAGCCACCCACCTCAGCCCATTCACAGCCAGCTTTCCTCCTCCGTTGGCTATTCTCTGATCATTCTTCATAGCCAATGGGGCTGGGTGTCCCTTTGCCCCTTGCCCTTTGCCCTGGCCCATTCACCCAGGCACCGTAAAAGAAGCTTAAAGCAAGGAAAAAACAATTTAAATAATTTAACTATATCTATAAACTAGCTTGGATAGAAAAGACTGGGAAAAAGGAAGATAGGTTCATTTGCTATAATGAGAATACATTGTCATTGTCTTCCATACTTCGGAATAAATATAAATAAATAAATAAATTCTTACTACATGTGTGACCATAGAACGCTACATCCATCTTGTTTGAAGGCTTCCACCATTGTTCCGCTGCCAAAGAAGTTCCCTATCAATAACCTCAACGTTTACAGACCAGTGGCACTCACTCCTATCATCATGAATTGCTTTGAGAAATTGGTCTGCCGGCACATTATTTCTGGTCTTCTACATACGAGGGCTATCCACAAAATAGATTACGTTTTGCGATAAAAAAAAAATAAAGTGTAGGACATTTTTTTTATTATATACACTTGAAAGTGACACTTAAATACTACTTTTCAACACATTCACTGAACAAATTGACGCACTTATCATAGTGGTGTACAAGCTTTGTAATTCCATTGTCATAAAATTCAGCCGCCTGAGATTTGAGCCAGTCAGTCAAAGCGCTGTGTTCCAAGCCAGGTCTTCATCCTCGGAAACAAGTGGTAGTGCAAGTGCTTGGTGCAAGATCGGGGCTGATGAGGAAAAATCTCCCACTTGAAAGCATTCAGGACTTCTCGAGTGCCGTAGTTCAGCCATTTTTAAACTTAATGCACCATTGGCGCACGCCACCTTCAGCGATGATGTTGTCCCCGTACACTTCACACAGTTGCCGAAAAATTTCAATCGGTTTATGGTTTTTTGCCAACAAAAACCTTATCACTGATCGCACCTCACATTTATCTTTTTATCTTTCAAGAGATTTTTATCTTCAGCAAAATATGTAAGCTTCATCAGTAATGTTTAGGTTTATTCAAATAAATAGCACCCTTTTTTTGAACTATTACCATCTGGCAGACAGTACAGAATAATAAAAACAAGGACAAACAGGCTGAAAAACAGCTTCTATCCCAGGACAGAAGCTCTTTTGAATTCTGCTGTATAGTGCAGTGTTGGTGTGGTGTCAGAATTTTCAATTCAATCTGTGAAGTGTGAGGGATGTGTGTTTGTGTTTATTTTCATGATCATGATGTGCACTGAAGATGGTGTTTGATTTTGTTCTATGAGGTGCAATGACAATAAATTAAACTAATCCAAACTACACTACACCAAACATAAATCCAGTCAGAAATAAATGTCTTTAATTTCACTCCAGGAGAAGTAAATATAAAATTGCAGTTTAGATTTCATTGTGCCTCTAAATTTCTATTTACAAGGGACCATCTTAGCTATTATATTACCTGATTTTGCCAACAAGTAATCATATAAAATCATGTTATATTGTTGCATAATAATAAAAAGAGATGTGAATGAGATGTGTACAATTAGAAATATTCATAAATATGTTGGAAATAGGATATGTAACGTAATATACATATGTATAGCATACAATACAGTATGCTATTATTTTAAATGCATGAACAAAAGGTAGCAGGTTTAGAATTTACAAAATTGCAGTATGTTGGACCCCAAATGAAACTTATAAATATTTGTGTAATTATTGTTGAATAATGTAGAATCACTATTTGCTATTTATTTGAATAAACCCAAACATTACTGATGAAGCTTACATATTTTGCTGAAGATAAAAATCTTTTGAAAGATAAAAAGATAAATGTTTGGTGTAAATTATAATTTGATGTGTGAAATGTGTAATTGATGTACAGTTTGGTGTAAAATACAGTTTCATGTGAATAATACTAATTGTGTCTGCATTGTGGGCTTGCAGCATTTCAGAAATTCCTTAGAAAATCTGACGTGTCACATGAAATAGAAGAAGTTCTGGAAGAGCGTCAAGTGCAGAGAAACATTCAAGTAGCATCTGTATTTCAACTTTTGTGTGACAACACTAAGCGATGGCAAATTCTCAATGTAGTTGTAACCATGGCTTGCTATCAACTTTGTGGCCTTAATGCTGTAAGTCATTATATAAAATATATCTTTGATTATTGCTTTCACAGCCCCACTTTTTTTGTTAGAGTCTCGGGTCATTTAAAATAGCTCTCAACATCAACATCTGAGAGATCAGTTGGGCAAGAGATACAAATCCTCAATAGTTTCTGTTTGCGTTTTTCCTCTTTCCCCCTCCCATTTTTGAAAAAAATATGAACTGCAAATCTGCAGTTAACAGAATAACGAAGTTGGAAGGGACCTTGGACATCTTCCAGTCCAGCCTCCCTGCTCAAGCAGGAAACTCTATAGTCTTTCAGACAAATGGTTGTCCAATCTCTTCTTAAATATCTCCATTGTTGGAGCAGCACCCACAATTCCCAGAGGCAAGTTGTCCCACTGATGAATTGTTCTAACTGTCAGGAAATTTCTCCTTAGTTCTAAGTTTGCTTCTCTCCTTGATTAGTTTCTATCCATTGCTTCTTGTCCTGCCATCAGGTGCTTTGGAAGATAGGTTGACTCTGTCTTCTTTTTGGCAGATCCTTGGATATTGAAATTCTGCTATCGTATCAATCCTAGTCCTTCTTTTCATTAAACTAGACATTGCAAATCCCTGCAACCATTCTTCCTACAGTATGTTTTGTCCTCCAGTTCCCTAATCATCTTTGTTGCTCTTCTCTGCACTATTTCTAGAGTCTCAACATCTTTTTTACATCATCCCAACCCAAACTGCCTTTCCTGACTTCACAGGTATTCCCCCTTTTGATTGCCTTCTTAAATCTCAACTTTTTAGCCTTCCTTCTTTCCCCACTTCTTTGTAGTGTTTCTTGTGTTGTCTATTTAAGATGCCTTCTCCTTGAGTCGACTCATCCTCCTCTGAAGCTCTTTCTTGTTCTTCAATCACCATTTCCATTTTTTCTAACATAGAGCAAAGTGATTCGCCTCTTTCCTGTAGTAATTCTCTCATATTTTTAAGTTCCATTTTTAATTCCTGAAGAGATATCATCATTACACACTCAATATAAAAATTTTTATCGTTAAAGTCCACAAAAAAAAGCACTTTTACTTTCCTTCTTTCTTCTTTCAATTTTCTAAAGTTCTCAGTTATTCCAGCCCAGGGTCTATACCAAAAACATCAATCAATCCCACAGTCAGTCTTTCCTTGCTTTTTTCTTTATTCTGGTTCTGCTTTCACTTTCTCAGATTCTTACTTTGTTTCAATATTTCTTTAATGTTATATCCACACAAGTTCATTCAGAAACAGGATGCTTTCCCTTTTATTTGAGCTCAAGTTTTTGTCAAAAGGTGGCACTCTCCATTACACAAAGTCTTCACCTTTTCCCCCTATTTTTTTTATTTAGGGTTTTTCGAACCTCAATATTCCAGCACAGTCCGGCTCTTTGATTCCAGTAATAGTTCCAGGTGAACCACTCTATACTTAGCAATCTTCAAAAGGCTCAGCAATTTTCTCTCCTTAGTCGTGAACAAATAGGTATCAAACAGTATACAGCAAAACAAAAAACAAACAAACCAGTCTTTCAGATGTGCTTACCTCCACTCAATGTTAAAGATTATTCCAAGGTCTTTTCCAGTCTTGTAAAAATATAGTGTATTTCCTTTCTTTCACCAGTCGATGGCATCATCACCTAAAATTTCAATGTGACACCCAATGAAATAGCATTCTGATTTCAAATAATTTTCTTTCACTTTTCCCCAACAATCAGCCCAATATTTCCAGTATTTTTAAAATGCCTTTTCAAGATGTTGCCAATAAAATTGTTCAAATCCAGTCATTCTATATTTTGAAAATTATATCCTCTCTTAGGTTTCATTTTCTTCTGGGTCTGTAGTCTTCTTCTAAGTAATTATTAGCAGCTTTAAACCTTTTGGATAATTGTCTTTTCAGAGTTTATTTTCTATATGGGGCTTAATCCCGAGTAAAGAAGTTGAAGATCATCTCAGCCAGCTTCAGTCCACGGTTCAAACACTGCTCCAGCACATTTCTTTCTTTGGTTGTCCCAGCTTCCCAGTGACCATAATGGCCGCTTCTCCTTCCTTGTGGTTGGATAGGGGAGTGCGCCTTGGATCAAGCGGGAGAGTTGCCACTGTCTGTTATCTGAAAAGCACCCCTCCTTTCTTTGTCAACCCTACGAGGGGACTTTAGCACTTTCAGCCCCCGCCCCAGAGAGGACAATTCAGCCTAGTTTTGGGGACCCCTGCTCCCCACAACTGTATCACAGCAACGCCAAACCGGAAGTCCAGAAAGGGTTTTTGTCCTGGCATCAAGGAACTGAAAGCTGAGGTACCAAAGAACCTCACAACTTAGCCCTATATTATCTTTTTTTCTCTTTTTTGTTTGGTTGTTGGTTGTTCAGCTAAAAAATATAAAGGCTGATGGACTCTTCCCTCACATCCCACAAAAAATGTCCTTTATCGTGTATAAGAAGAGCACTCACCACTTTCTATTCTGATCCTTTTCTGTCTTTTGGGGGGTGGGATTCGCGGGAAACATTAATGTGCAGACACTGGAAAACGGACAAAAACAAAAAATCGAGCCTAGAGTGAATAGCATTGCTTCTATTCGTTTTACTGGTGTTTTGAAGCCACCTGGTAAATATTTCACATCATCTTCAATATACCCAGATACAAATGTTTTCAATGTTGTGATGCCCCTAGGCTGGAGGTTATGGAGAACTATTTTGACAGTTTCCAAACCGTCATTAAATGTATGTATATGTGTAGAACTTAGACTTTGATAGGGCCAAATGATTTTTTTTTTTTGAAACCCGATAACTGGAAGGTGGCTTCTCTTTCAGATTTGGTTCTACACGAATGACATTTTCAAGGGAGCTGGCCTAAGTCCTCAAATGATACCATATGTTACCTTAAGCACGGGAGCTGTGGAGATCTTGGCTGCTCTTTTTTCAGTAAGTCTGTGGTGGATTGGAAAATGTATAGAAATGCATAAGGGGGTCTATAATTTAGAATGAAACCTTTTTCAGTTTCTGTCTTAGTTTTGAACTGGCAATATGGAAATAAAGGAAATAAAAGGACTGAATCTTATAAAAAATCTTCACTAGAAGCCAGGGGCCTGTGAGTTCTGATCCTGCCTTAGGTGTAAAAGCTGCCTGAGTGACTTTGGACCAGTCACTCTCTCTCAGCCCAACTCACCACACGGGATTGCCACTGTAAGGAAAAATAGGAGGAGGAAGGAGTATTATATATGTTTTTCTGCCTTGAGTTACTTGTAAAGTAATAAAGGCAGGATAAAAATCAAATCAAATCAATCAATAAAAAATAAATTAAATGTTCACAACACTTTAGAGTGAATGTTCACCATCACAAAGACTTTACTTTTGAAAATCTGAGGGGAAAACAATCAGGTAAGCAATTGAAATTGTATCTAATGTTTTGTAACAAACTAGATGTTCTTTTTTTTTAATAGATCAATATTTATTTATTTATTTTGGAATCATGAGTGACATGAAGAAATGTACTCCATATTAATGAAAAAAATAGATGGGAAGTTACTAATGACATTTAATTTATATTTAAAATATAGAGAGCTAATGTTAAGGGTGCAAGAACTCCTGGCTTTAATAGAAATGTACATTTTAATCTCGCCTCTTGTTGAAATAATTGGAATGGCTCTTTGAAGAATATTGGGACTTCCCAAAAAACATGTCTGGGATTACACTTGAACTTTGGGTAAGATAAAACTGTTACCTGTACCAGAGGTCCCCAACCTGATTCTCAGAACCAGTACTGGTCTGCAGCACATTAGGAACTGGGCCGGTCCAGTGGCAGGGGATCAGTTGAGCTTCCATTTGCACAGGTGGTGGTCGCACATCCAAAACCATCCCCACCCGCTCTCCGCTACCACTGCTGGTCAGTGGAGCCGGAAAGGTTGGGAAAAGAGAAATAAATATGCATAATACTTCATATGAAACTGCCATTTGTAGAAGAATGCCATTTACTTCTTTGCATGTAGAGAGGTTGCCATTGACAACTCAGGCCCTTAGCATTCTGACAGAACACCATGAGAGACTGAAATCTACTTAAGTGCATACCTTACAAAATATATTGATATGTTGCTACTAATACATTGTTATTCTAATCATACATTGTAATAATGAATATGGAATGTGAGGTCATGAGTATAGGAGCAAAAGGAAATTTTAAAAATGCCATCTATTTTTAGAGTATAGAAATTACAATAATTGATGTTGATTCAGGTCTGCACTGCAAGCATGCAAAAGTTACCAAGATTTAATAAAATTTTGATCCGATTTAGTACATTTGAATCTGAGCTTTGCTGGACTGAATTCAAATAATCCATCAGTTTTATTCACAAATTTGATTCATTTTGATGAAACATGAAGAGTGTAATTTACTGAATAATGTATCCAGTTAGATTTGATGCATCACATTGATTGAGTTATTCAGATTTGATTCAAAGAGATGTGATCAAATTGATCCTAAATCAAGCTTTGCACAATCTTATTAGCCATTATTAATCCCTATTTTGTCCCACCCACTTTGTAGTATGCAATTAGTGATATGTTCTGCATTATAGAATAATAGAGGTTGGAATATGGAAATGTATTATACAAAGCATTTAGAATTCTAATACATTGAATTGAAATGATTAGAAGCTCAAAGAAAATTCTAATTTTGAACCAAGTGCATAATAAACCTACTAGCTTTATGAGTCAGATTCTGCTAAAGGAGGAATAAAAGGGCAGAATAGGACATTGAGGTAAGAACATAAAGTGTCCTATAAAGTCAGAAGACCAAAATTCATAGCAGTCTGTTTATACATTGATTTAAGAGCAGTTAAGTTTTCAGTTTGTATGGCAGTTACTCTTGATTTGCCTTGTAAAAAGCTTAGTACTGTGAATTGAATGAATTGCTTAAGGATGCTTGTGTTCTATTAGGGTCTTAGGGTGAATCCATCCACAATTCTGTAATATAAGTAGCCATCTTTTTCTTTTTTCAGGGCTTACTGATTGAAAGAATTGGACGCAGACCTCTTTTGATTGGGGGATTTGGTTCGATGTTTTTCTTCTTCATCATACTTACTTTGTGTATGAGTCTACAGGTCTGTAAATGTTAATTGATCTATTTTCTTTTAAATATGTGAAATCATCAAGCGTCCTTTTTAATCATTCTTATATGCAACAAATAGTAGATCTTCTCTGTGCAACCTTGAATTATAATAAGGACAAATACTAATTTTCTTTTGTGAACTATATTTAAGAAGCAAATTCAAACTTTACATTAAAATACAGTATTACTGTAGTTTACTAGGATTTGTAGTGTAATAAACTGAGGCATAATAATGAAGTGCTCCGCTGTTATCTATCTGCATTATATTTTTTGCAATAATACCTTCCCAGTTTTATTTGTAGCAAACTGAAAAGTATGGAAACGTTTCAGAACCATTATGACAAACCATGGTTTTAAATTATGAAATTATGTTCTAATTTCCAGTTTTAAATAAAATCTCCTTTTACAAGGTTTAAAGCATACTTCTCAGGATCACAGCTATGGAGGTACTGAAAATTGCTTTGAGGCATATATGTTTGTTTCACTTTTCCAAAGATCTGGGACTGCTCTGCTAGCTGTCTGCCCAAGAGCCCTTTGGCCTGATCATACAGATCTTGACAAACATGTAAAGGTTCTGTGTTAGTAAATTGCCCTTCTTGCTTATGAATATTGACTGATTTTTTTTTCATATTCTTATGACATTTGAATGTCAGAGCACTTCCATCAGTCTTGAATAACAAGTGGGGGGGAAGTAGAATTAAAACTTTGAGTTCAGCCGAATCCATTTCTGATGGAAATACTAAGCAATCCACAGTTTTATTTCTGGGTAATCGGAGATTATGATTAGATATGACCTTGGCTGATTTTGACAGGAAGAGAGAGCTTGTATGACCCTAAACCAGAAAACTGCCCCACACAGAGCAAGGGCCTGCCCCCTCTCTTGTCAGATGTCTTCCACTGATTAATCTCAGCCCGTAGAGAGTGTTTCTGTTATGGTTCCCTTAAACTGAGTAATAAAGCTGGGATTTATTTGCTACCCATGATATATAAATGACTAGAGTATATTATTCTAAGCAGGTATTAGCTGGCATATAGACTTCCAAGATAGAGTATTAGCAAACCGGCCTTCATATCACTCTGCAAATGTTTTTGCTTTCTACAAGCCGTCTGGGGATCTCTTTGATTTGTGATTTTTTTAAAAAAACTGTCCAATACCTATTCTGGCTGGTTTAAAATCAAGCATAATAAAAAAGATACAATTTGAATAAAACACAAACAGTAAAACATAAAATAAAAACACCATATAAATTGCTATAGGTTTACTAACAAAAATCATTTTTAATGTTATCGTGTATTTTTCAGGATCAAGCAGTCTGGCTTCGATATCTCAGTGTAGTCTGCATTCTTGCAATCATCGCCTCATTTTGCATCGGACCAGGTAATGACTCTCTTTTCTAAGATGCTCTGACAGAAAGAGCTGTGATGGTTTTTCTAATATAAAAAAATCGCTCACACTACGGACTGTAAAGTGGATTAGGGTGGGGTGAGGAGTAAAAGAGTATAAAGCATTAAGTTCTTCAGGTAATAATAGATTGGGGCAGTTGAGAAAGATAAACTTATTAGGTTACATGTATCTAAGAATAATAATATACTATATAACATTATTATATGTAAATGCTATATATTTTTAATGATTAGTCTATTATATACTTTTGAGAACATCAGCTTGTAGTGATCACATAGATCTTCTCTAGGATGATTGGTCATCCACTTGGTCCTTCAGATCTTGTAATGATGCACCCATTGCCCTTGTAATCATATATTATATGATCATAAATCTAAATATATAAATTAAAATCTATGACATTATTTACAGAATACAGAATAACAGAGAATATAAAACATGATGCACATATACAATACCCATGCAGCTCTTGCAACGTGGTAGAAGAAGAAGTAGCAAGTATAAGGACAAGAAGTAGAAGCAAGGACTAAAACTAGAAGCAAAGAGTAAGGACAAACGAACTCTTATATACACAGAACAAGCTAAGCCACGCCCAAGCTCCGAGCTATCTGACCTGGCTCACAAACAATCTTGTGTCTCAGTCACCAAACCAGTGTAGTATTCATCCAGTTCGCACCGGATTGGGTGAACCGGTAGGAAGAATTTGGCGTGGGCCACCGAAGCAGTAGTAACTTCTGGCTGGCCACGCCCCCGACCGCGTCGCCCAGTTGCCACTTGATCCAGGTGTCTGATCGCATTTCCAGCATTTAGGTGATTTGTCTTTAAACATCTTTGCCAATTTTGCTGGTGCAATGTGCCATCTATGAAACATCTTATACAAGTTTTCTTTATATTCTGTCAATATTGTTAATTTATAATTTGTTTCCCGTAGCTTCTGCCATTTATCTAATTGGTGGTGCTCCATTTAAAATCCAAGAAAGAAACACTTAGACTCCGTTCATTAGAGAAAAGATATCTTTTACTGGAAACTACATGGTAGCATCAGGGGTGGGATTCTACCAATTCTGTCCAGTTCTATAGAACCCTATAGAACCTTGGCAACTGTAAGACTTGTGGACTTCAACTTTGGGAGTTGAAGTCCACAAGTCTTTAAGTTGCCAAGGTTGGAGACCCCTACTCTGAAGAACAAGCTAATTAATTTACATTTGATGGCTTCTCTGACATTACAATACTTAATGTCCACATACTTGCTTCTATTCTTTACTCTGTCACCTATTGCCATTTTAATGCAAGCAGGATTATTCTCATAGATTGTCACAGCGTCATTTACCTTTACACTTAAATCCTGTAACAGCTGTACATACCAAGTTACCTCTGAACAAAGTTCAGATAGTGCTATAAATTCTGCCTGCCCAGTAGAAATGGCTACAGTTGTTTGTTTTCTGGACTTCAACCAATTAAAGGCCCTTCAAACAATACCACAATCTGAGAATTGGACTTTCTGGTTTTTACATCATTGGCATAATTGCTGTCATCATAACATTTCAATTTCAATTCTTCAGAGACCTGTATTTGAAGACCCAAGTTCACAGTTCCCTTCAAATACCCGAGAATCCTTTTTATACTGTAGAAAGTTAGCACCTACCCCTCTCCTAGAAGAATAAAATAGTCTAGGAAATATTAAAAAGGCAGAATATTGTATTTCCCTCAATTTTTCTTCTTTGATGTTTTTTCTCTGTGAAAAACCTTGTGCCACTAATCTTGCTTTATATTGCACCTGATTGTTGGGTAGTACATTCTTTTTGTATACCCATTTACATCCTACGCCTTTGCAACCCTGTGGCAAAGTCATAGATGTGAACACTTTGTTCACTCATGGGTTTGATTTCTTTATCCATGGCTTCTTTCCACCTTACTTGTTCAATTTGGGGTAGTGCCAATACTTCCTTATAGTTCCTTGGCTCCTACCACACATCACATACCTTTACTTTACGAGCAGAATACCTGTTAAGTGGAATCCCCTTGTTCTATCATTCTGACTTGCGTGGCATTGAGTGCTCTTGTGTTTCAACCCTCTCTGGCTTCATATCTGAGTCATCATTTCCTTCTGACACCTTTTCTAGTTCTTTTTCAGTTTCTCCTCTCTGAACCCTGACGCCATCACCAAGTGAGTTGCCATCACTAAGTGGGTCACCGTCACTAAGTGGATCATTCCAAAAATTGGCCTCAATTCTGTTCCAATTTTGCTCTGCAAAACTAGCAGACCTTGAAATCACTATTCTTTTGCTCCCATCGCTAAAGCCATAGCTCTTTGAGCCAGGCTCATAGCCCGTAAACCTGAGCTTTCTAGCCTTTGACTGACCTTTTCTCCTGATTGCTTTTGGAATATGCACCCATGCATTGCTTCCAAACACCCTTAAATGTGCCAAATAAGGCATTCTCTCATATAGCACTGTACGTGGAGTATCATTAATTGAGGAACTCTGCAGCCTATTGATTGAATAATTAGCAGTCAACATGTATGCTGTATATAATGATCAACAGTGATGATTGCTATGTGTACAAATTATATATTTCATAACACTCATCTTTTCTAACAAAGTATCAAATATGTCTAATCAGTTTTGATCTTATTTACAAGAGGATGAAAGGCCTCATGGCAGCCCACTCCTCAGTATACTTTAGCAATAGGCTCCTGGCCTGAAGAGATCTCAAGCCTCTCTTTTTCTTACTAGGAATGGGTTTATGAAACATCTATTTATTTATTTTTTGTCTCTTCCTTGCAGGTGGAATTCCATTTATCCTCACTGCAGAGTTATTTCCACAGTCTCAAAAGCCAGCAGCGTTTATGATTGCTGGAATAATCAACTGGCTCTGCAATTTCATAGTTGGACTCCTTTTCCCTTTCATTCAGGTATGGACTCCGAATCAGAGAAGGCATCAGAACGTTTTAAAAAGGGTGAAGTATGATTGGCCATGAAATCAACATGTAGCCCTCTTGATCTATTTATAGTATCTTTTTTCAGTGTTTTAAAACTTCTGATTTAGTTATTTTATTTAAAAAAAGAATAGCGTTAAGTCCTTACATGCAAAACATCATGGGTCGGGGACATAAAAATAAAAACATAGGGCAATTTAAATAAAAATTAACAGAAGAATTAGTTGAAAAATACACAGGAAAAGAGGCTCTGAAAAGATATAAAGCATATTGATCTGTTCCTATTTATGAGGCAACTTAATGTAAAGAAGTGCCAGTTTGCATAAAACACACAAAGACTGAACCTCTTTAAAACATCCAAAAATGAGAAACTACAAGCTGCCTTGGTAACTTATATAAACCTTACTTTAGGAAGTTTTTCTTTACATTTAAATAAAGCTTAGGTTACTACAGCTTATACCCCCTTTTCACCCTAATTTTTGTGACCATGGAAAATTGTTCTGATCAGCTTTCCTGCATAGTTTTGTATGCAATTAAACAGCACGGTTTTAATATGACCAGAGCTAGTGGTTCAGAATATGTGGGGATAGTCCAAAATAACTCGGGCTGGATGATTTTCTATAGGTTTTATTGTTTGTGAACCTAGAGAGACCAAAATGTGGTGCTCAGTTTCAAAGCGTATTATGAAATGCTGGTAATAGAAAGCGTGCATTTAGTCAGAGGAAGATAAGCAGCGGTCCTGATAATCCAGGTTTCATTTTGCTTTGTGTTTTCAGAAAGGGTTGCAAACATACTGTTTCCTGGTTTTTGCTGCTGTCTGTCTTGTGGGAGCCACTTTCCTTTTTTGTGCTTTACCCGAAACAAAAAAGAAAACACTTGCTGAAATCAACCAGGCGTTTGCCAGGAAGAAAATGCCTCTGGAAATCCAGGAAATGGGTCATTTTGATCCCAAGGGGAAATCCACTAAGTGAAGCACAAGCATCCAATTTTTGTCATTCAACCGGAAAATGAAAACAACAAACAAATGGCCTAAATTCAATTTTTCATGGTATTTTTTTTTGCATTTTAACAAAGCTATTTATTAATTTTCTTGTGGTTGGAGACTAGTTGTGACTAGAGTTGATAAAGAGTCAAAAATGAGGAACTAGATTATTTGAGCAACATCATTGCTTAATTTAACTATGCAAATGAAACTTCCTTGGTTAATTGTAGGAGTGCAGTGACTTTTACCACTGGTTCGGGTTCATGGCAGCTATCTCTCTTAATGCATGATTCACATTCTCAGGCATATGTTTTGCAAATTCTATTTTTTTAAACTTTAATTAAAATTCAGATTTTTTTATAATAAATATTGAATTTATGGAGGGCTTTTAACCTTTTGAGTTTAATGCTAAAATAATTCGTCTCGTACAGATAATTTCTTATACTCAGGGCAATTCTATCTATGAGGACATACTTAAATCTCAGATCTTCAGTATCTTTTTCTCTTTAAATAAAATCAGGGCTTTACGTTTTTGGGGTCCATTTTTACTTTTTGTCTTTGAGTGGCGGTTACTTTGTAAATAAAATTTGAATGTGTATTTGAACATTGTAGCTCAAACAATATCATCTAGACCAGTGGTGGTCAACCTGGTCCCTACCGGCCACTAGTGGGCATTCCAGCTCTCATGGCGGGGAGGGGGGGGGGGGGGTTTTGTCCCCTAGTTTATAAATCACCATTACTGTGGAACTGGTGGGTGGTTAGGGAAAATATTTACTAACAGAGATACAAAAGTGGGCGGTAGGTATAAAAAGGTTGACTGCCCCTGATTTAGAGCTTTCAGTATTTTTACTCCAAGTCAGCCCAATGATGGAAACATATTTTGCTTTGTGGTTCATCTTTATCAGATTACAGATATAGTTTTAGTTACATAATGCTGGACGCAGGAATGGTGTGTTACAAACTATGAAAGATGCAGGAATGGGTAAGTTGTTTTGGGGTGGGGCAATTTTAACTGCCAATTATTTGGTCAATAGACTATGGAATTCAGCAATTAGTGAAACTTCATATTACATGTTAGAAAAAGACAACTATCTTCGGCACATTTAAGAATCTTTGGCAGCAGTGAATGGGTGCACATTCCCAAAACAATTAGGAGGACAACCAAAGGCAAGGAAATATAGATTATTAGTCAAGATCAAATTTTGCTTACCTAAATGCAGAATTAAAAGAAAATATATATATGGCACTAGCTCCTCGTTATGAGAGTGATCAACCAGGAACAGTATATAAATTAAAGAAAGCACATAAATCCTAAAACAATCAGCAAGAAAATTGGAACAAATGTTTAGATACTATTTTGAAAAAAATCAGGTTTCAGAAGCAGTAAAGCTGACCCATGCTTGTATACTCAAAAGTGTGAAGGCAAAATATCTGTATTATTAGCATTTGTGGATGATATTTGTTACATAACTAAAGAACAATCACAAATTTATTCATTTGCAAAACAGCTTGAAAAGAACTTTCAGTTAAAGAGTCTAGGAGAAATAAAGAACCATTTAGGAGTAGAAATAAAATACAAGAAGGGTGGTATGTTTTAAGTCAAAAGAATAAAATAGAACCATTGTTAAAAATATAATATGGACAGTTGTAAAAGTGTGCATATTCCCATGATACCAGATTTTCAAACCCTCAAAAATGTTTATTTTTACAGAAACCTTATCAGGCAGTCATAGTAAGTCTGTTGTACTTATCACAAGGCCAGATATTGGCAATTCAGTCAACACTTTAAGCTGTTATACATCAAAGCCTACACAACAACACTGGTTAGGAATTAAAAGAATACTATGTTATTTAAAGGGAACCATTAATTTAGGATTGCATTTGCAACCATCAAGTGAATTGACTTTGAAATGTTTTGTAGACAGTGATTGGGCTAATGATGTACAAGATAGAAAATCAGTCAGGATTTGTTATAATGTTTGCAAACACATTAGTGGATTGGAAATCTAGAAAACAAACTTCAGTTGTCATTTCTACAGCTGAAGCAGAATTCATAGTATTAATCAGGATTGTGTTCAAAGATAACATGGTATATACAATTATTAAAGGATTTGTTTGGATAGTGAAATGAAAGGAGCTATAGCAATATTTGAACATAACACAACGTGTGTACAAATGGCAACAGGTGAAAGAATAAAAACCAGAAGCAAGCATGTTGACATAAAGTATTGTAATGTCAGAGAAGCAGTGAAAAAAATTGTAATAGGCCTAATTTATTGTCCACGAGAAATTTAGGTGACCTCATGACAAATACATTAAGAATACAAAAACACAAGGATCTAGTAAAATGACCTGGTTTAAATGCTGTACATCTATAAATTGGAGGAGTATTAGTAGCTGGAACAGTAAAGTGTATAATAGGCTAAAACACACAGTTGTAATTGATTAGTTCGAGTGTGTTGACTCATGAATGTCGCAATGTACTCTATGATTGATTGTGAAGGGGTTTTTCCCTCTTTTCCTGTCTTTTTCTTCTGTGTGTTCTACATGTATACTGTTTAATTTACCTCATGATATTCCTGTATTCCTGACTATCTTGTATATAACAAACTATTCTAAAAATACGAGTTCCTGGTATACTTGTAAAAAAAGAAACAGACATCCTGCGATCTCCGGAATTTAAAATTACATTTATTGTACTTACTAAGCTTTCATCAGTAAACTACTTGGAGAAATGGCAGGCTTAAAAATAAAGCTAAAAATGACATTATTGACTAAGAATTTAAATGTGGCATATCAGAAGAAATGGGAACTTAAAACTGGTTTTTAATAGATTTAACAGATTAGGAGTTGGAAGGGACCTTGTAGGTCATCTAGTCCAACCTCCTGGCCAAGCAGGAGACCGTACACCAGTGGTAGGGAACCTATGGCAGGTGTGCCAGAGGGGGCACTCAGAGTCCTCTCTGTGGGCATGCGCACCATTGTCGCGCCAAGTGCTGACAACAGCACCAGAGTGGCAGCAGTGCAATGAGCCAGCCGGCCAAGAAAAAGCTGCCTCCAGTGTGAGAGCTCCAGCTCTGAAAGTAGCGGGAAGTCACGCCACCCACTGTCTCCAGCTTGGCTTCCTCTTCTTCATCCAGCCCCAATTCTTTGGGTCCGTTGCCAGGCAAAGTAGCCTTGAGCCACCCATCGGGCACGTGGTGGGGACAGCGTCAGGGTCAGGCCTCATCAGCTGCCTCTCTAAGTAGTGCGCCCTTGGCCCTGGCAGCCTCATCCATTTCGAGCCCCACGTCCATCATGACAGTACCGGGCCGGAGCCCCTGGAATCCAGCAGGGCCTCCTGTATGCAGTGCTCCATCTCCAGTGATCCTTTTTAATGAAAGAGCTGAAGGCGAACACTGGAGACTGCAGGTCGGAAGTGGAAGGAAGGCCACCTCTTCGCCCCGAATCTATTGTTAAATTATTTGAATCCCACCACAGCCTTCATATAAGTAATGTGGGCCGTGGCCTAAGAATTCTTAGAAGTTCTATTGATGCCACCATCCTTTAAGCCAGTGGTTTATTTCTAAAATTCTGTTCCTCTTTGGAAGTAAGATGCAAACACTATATGTACTCCTAACTCTTTAGCTTTCATGCCAAGTTACTCATAGCACCTTGATAGGGTTTTTGGTTCATTGTTGTATTGTTCATCCCCACATGAAAGAGAAGGATTGATTACATTAGTAAGGCTCTCAGTCACATCTTTGATGTTTTTTTTTTCTTGGAAAGAATATACAGTGTTTCTCCAAAAATAAGACCCGGTCTTATTTTCTTTTGGGCCCAAAATAAGCACCGGGTCTTATTCTTGTGGGATGTCTTACCCACTTACCTTAGGACCACTGCAGCCAGGCCTCCCATGCCCTGACACCTGTCGCACCACTCGCTGACTTCTTCTGCAGCTTCTTCTGCAGCTGCCCATGTCCACTTGTGGCCAGATGCCATGTGGCGCACCACAAGTGTGCCGCTGCTTGTAGCACAAGGCTACATGGCTTGTCAGGATGGTGCCACAGCTCGCAGTCGGCCACATGGCATGTTGTGCCGTTGAACCTATGTGAGAAGCAGCACCGGAGTCACATAGCACAACTTCCTGTATTTGGTGTTATTTCTCTCCTTTTACAAGCAGAGGCTTAAGTTTTATAATTCTGAATTTCCTCACCTTTGCGGATGAATGAAATCAATGACACTGCTGAATATTTATTAGCAATCATTACTGTAATTATTACTAGTAATATTAATATAGGTGTACAGTATTTTGGTGGGGATACTGCTTTTGCATTTCATTTTTCATTATATGTTAAAAATTCCTCAGAACTCATGAAAACTGTAAGTTCAATTTCTACAGGGAACCTTTTTTTTGTTGTTGTTCAAATAGTGGCCTTCATGCTATTAGCTGAAGAAAGATTTTGCAGTGTTGTCCTTGATAGAGTCTACAGTCTCAAACATCTCCTTTGAGGTCAGCGTTGCAGAGACATTACAAGGACATCCTTCCTCTTCTGCACCACACTTTGGAAGTACCAAAGTGGGGGAGGGGTATAACATCCATGCCCATTTAAGTGCCAAATCACCTCTTTTTCTTAAAATCTGCAACCCTGCAGCTGTGTATTGGCCAAGTGCTTTTACAGACGTATTCATGTTTGCCTAAGTTTCCTCACAATGGAGTGAAGAGGCGGCAGAAGAATTCATTTAAATGATCTTGGATCTTCCCAGCCTTTCATCCTTCCTTCTTGATGAAATTGTACGGTTTACATTTTGCAGCTGACCTCAAAGAGGGAGGCTGCTGAATGCATCCGGTAGAAAATGGAAAAGGGCATTGCAAGATTCACCACAATGATCCAAGGTTCAAATCCAAAAACCATTTCTTCCAGGCCATTGTCATATTCAGGGCGGCAACCAAAAGCTTGTGGAATCCAAAGCTGTAAAAAAAAGAATATTAATAGATGATATTATCCATGAGATTATGCTGGGAACAATATTTTTCAGCTCAATTCATATAATTTAATTAAAAATTCACTTGCAGAATTCTCAATTTTATTTCGTATTGTGTATTTGTTCACATGATCATGTAATCTTTATCCAGGTTTCAAAATCTTTTTCTTAGGTTTAAAATTATACATTTGAAAAATACTAGAACTTAATATTAATTGGACAAAATAAAATTTAAAAAAACTATGAGAACCAAGGGAATAATCCATTGTAGGACATAACTGACCTTGTCAGGTACAGCACCTGGTTTCTGATTGCAACTGATGCTATGGTACATTATTTTTTTCCTGGACCAATCACTTTCTCCTAAGACATTCTAAGATATTTCATTATTAAATGCATTTACTCACTATGCCACTTTTAATACTATATTGTCAGAGTATATTCATTAATTGGAATAGAGCATGGTAACAAGGTCAGCCATTGAATAGGTATAGCAACTGAGTCAGCCAATGAGGACTGTTTTGAAAACTGAAACTAGAAGTATCCTAGGGGTGGCTCTATATTAAACTC